ATTAAAGTAGTATGAAACAACTCAAAATATTAAAACATCATGTATGATATTGAGGCTAGAGAAGTAAACCATGGGTCAAGTTCATTAACATAATGTAATTAATCAAGCCTTGAAGTGATCAATCTGAATATTCTTTACTTCGAGCTTTTATGCACATTTAAAAAAAAGATTTAATACACATCTTCATTTGTATACTCTAGTTGTTTTCTTTTTGTTGAATTTGACAAATTACATCTTTTCTTTGATTTATTTAAAATAATACATAGTAAATTCGTATCTTTTCATAATACACAACATTAAATTATATTGTTTTTGATATAAACTCAGACTAAAATACAAAGATATAATAGTTTAATTGGAGAAGAAATCGATATGTATTAATATATTAGGTTATAATTTTGAAGTGATCGATCCGAATGTTTTCAACCTCCAGTTTTCGAAAATCATTTATGTTTTTGCTAACATATAATTTACCTTATTTATAGCAATTTGTATCTTGGAGGATTTTCAGGATTCACAAGCTCTTTTAATGGCTTTATTTCTACATCATGTGAAAGCATCAAGAAAAATGATATTGAATATATATTTTTGTTGTGTTCAACGCTACTCTATGCTCTGCACTCCAATATTTTTCATTTGTCCATACCTATTATCAAATTTACAATATTTCTTTCAATGTTTCTTAATTAAAATCTTAGAAAATAAAAGAAATAATATCAAACATTATCTCCATACAATTGCCAATGTTGATGACAATAACATTAGGGACGAGTTTAATCAGAAGCCAAACACCATCTAATCTTCGACTCACTTGTAATCCTTCAACCTCATCTACGGCCAATATAGTCAAGACGTTTTCATCAGCATGGTGACCAACACCTGATGCTAGGTCAGGTCATGGACATGGCGGATAACAGTTTATCATAATCAAACTCGTTTATTCGTTGAAATAGTCATAATTTTTTTTCGCGTGTTTTGCATATTCTTCGTACATCTCCCTAAAAGTTAAAAAAACAAAGAAAATTAGCGCATACAACGTATAATTTGTAAATTAATCATATTTAACTCAAAATCATTTAACCAAAAATTAGCTTAATTAACCTCTTATATACAAATTCAAATTCATTTAAGGCAAATCATGTTAGCTAGCTAGATAAATATATGGTTCAACTAACCAAATGAAATACATGAAGTTAAAAGGAATCTGAGGCCACTTGTTGTAAAGAAATATTAAACCTTCATCTTCATGATCTGTTGAAGTAGGAAGAAGCATGAGTCTTTAAAATGCACATCAAATAGTACTTTCTATTCTCTTACGTTTTTTGTATGTTCTCTATCATAATACCTATCAGATCCACTTCGTCCCTCTTCATTCATCTTTTCTTCTAAAAGAAGACTGAAAAATGTCTTTACAACTTTCTCCATTCGCTATTTTACCTCTCAAGAAACACCATGGTTGAACACCTGAAAAAATCTCCATTTTTCACAGGCATCACCGATCTCTGAAATCACGCTTTGAACGTTTTCAGGATCTTTGAGGCTTGAGAGATCAATTAGTGGTATTTCTTCGGAGTCATTGATGATGGAATTTGAATTTGCTCTATGTTCTGGTGCTTGGATGAAAGTTGGATCAATATTCTCCATTGTTAAAAGTATGAGGCTGAGTTTAGTTTGGGAACAAGTTTATGTAGATGTGATGTGTTTATGTCAGTCCACTACAATTATTTTATTTGATATTATTTTGACCAATAATTAGAAAATTAACATGTCCAAAAATATTTAGGTAACTAGAAGAGATAACTAAAAATATGATAAAATTACCCTTACAACTATAACTAAAGTAAATATGTATCACAAATCTCTAAAAAATTTCTCTTGATTTCATCCATGGAAGATTGCTCCTGCGATTATCTCAGCAAAAAGTAGATTTGT